TGGAGGTACTAAGACAACGATGAAATGGAGAGGCTTTACTGAAAAAAATCTAAACTTAAGATTCGAGGGCTAGCTTAGATATTTATACCTGTCTGTAACTAATCTGAGTGTTAAGGTAACACACATAAGGGCATCTGGGTGGCTCAGCTGGTTAAGCATCCAACACTTTTTTTTTCTTTAAGATTTTATTTATTTGTCAGAGAGAGAGAGAGAGAGAGAGAGCGCGCACGCAGAGGCAGGCAGAGGTGGAGAGAGAAGCAGGGAAGAGGAGCAAGGAGCCCGATAGGGGACTCGATCCTAGCACCCTGGGTTCATGACCTGAGCCGGACGGCAGCGGCTTAACCAACTGAGCCACCCAGGCATCCCAGCAACACTTTTTAAAAAAATATATTTTATTTATTTAGGGGCACCTGGGAGCAGGGAGCCTGCTTCCCCTCCCCACTCTCTGCCTGCTTGTGATCTCTGTCAAAAAAAAAAACAAAAAAAAACCTTAAAAAATTTTTATTTATTTGTCAGAGAGAGAGAGAGAGAGCAAGAGAGCACAAGCAGGGGGGATGCCAAGCAGAAGGAGAAGCAGGATCCCCCGTTGAACAAGGAGCCTGATGTGGGACACGATCCCAAGACCTCAGGATCAGGGCCTGAACAGAAGGCAGACCTTAATGGACTGCGCGCCACCCAGGCATCCCAGCATCCAATTCTTGATTTTAGCTCAGATCATGATCTCAGTGTTGTGAGATCAGCGCCCTAAGTCAAGCTCCACACTGGGCATGGTGTCTGCTCTTGCTTAAGATTCTCTCTCTCAGGGGCACCTGGGTGGCTCAGTGGGTTAAGGCCTCGGCGTTTGGCTCGGGTCATGATCCTGGGGTCCTGGGATCTGCCTGTATTGGGCTCTCTACTGGGCAGGGAGCCTGCTTCCTCCTCTCTCTCTCTGCCTGCCTCTCTGCCTACTTGTGATCTCTGTCTGTCAAATAAATAAGTAGAATCTTTAAAAAAAAAAAAATTCTCTCGCTTTCCCCTCTGCCCCTCCCCCTTAAACTTTTTTTAAAAAGGTAACACGCATTATAGTACTTCAAATGAAAGACAACTTCATTCTTGATAGCAAAGACAAAATAAAATATACTGGATGAAGAAATGTAGCAAAGTAATTGTCCACACATTTTATGGGTATTTATGCTATGTTATGCTAAAAACAGAGCAGAATGACAGAGAGCAGGTTGGAAGCTTGGCTCCCCCACTTACTAGCTGTGCAACTTGAGCACTTCTTAGGCCCCAGCTTTCCTCAACGGTAAAACAGAATTGTGAGAATTAGAAGTAACTGAGGTAAAACATCTATCTCAGGGAGTGACATGCAGGATTCAACTAAGTTTGAAAGGAAATTATCAATATTTGCCACAAAACAATGTATACTATAAGTAATGTAATAAAAAGTATTTAGATGAAGAATTTCAACTGAGAGACACATTAGTCAGCACTATGTTAGCTTATAAGAGTTACTTTTGTGGAAAGTTAATGCCAAAGTGATATAGCAAAGAACAATAAATTTTCACATCTCTTTATCTCTTTAGCTCTTTTACCCGGCTATCATCTACTCTGGCTATTCTACAGGATGCTACATATCTGACTCCATATCTGGAGTATTCTACTCCCTTTATTTTCACTTAAAATTTTTTTTCTCAGCTCCAGCCCTGAGCATGAGATTTAAAGTGTGTGGCCTGCATTACAACATCCAAAAGCATAATGCACATAATATTCCTTCTAAGATTTTAATGAATCAATCTTCCACCCAGAAAAAAAAGTGACCAAGAAAAAGAAAACAGTGATCTTTCACTTTCTGTATTAACCATAATTTGAAATGAGTTATTATTTGCTACAAAAATGTCCTCCCCTCAAAAAAAATTCTCAGGGATCAGCTATACTTACAATCATAAAACTATCAGTCGTTTAAAGACCATTCTGTAATTTTGAGAATTAAAAAAGTAACCTGAGGGCACCTAGGTGGCTCAGTCATTAAGTGTCTGCCTTCAGCTCAGGTCATGATCCCAGAGTTCTGGGATCAAGCCCCACATCAAGCCCCACATCTGGCTCCTTGCTCCCTGGGAAGCCTGCTTCTCCCTTTCCTACTCTACCTGCTTGTATTCCCTTTCTCGTTGTCTCTTTCTCTCTGTCAAATAAACTAATAAAAATCTTTAAAAAAGAAAACAAGGTAACTTGATGTAAATGTTTTAGATATGAAAAGACTGCCTTGTCTACATGTCTTATCCATTGAAACTAAATATTTAAAATGTTTTCAATGAATTAGCAGTAAGTTTACTACTTCATAAGAGACCTAAAATTACAATTTACTACTTGTAAATTGGACCCCTTCTTATTATAATAAAAGATTAAAATATTTATAAACCAAAAACTAATCATGAATACTGTAGAAGGAGGGTTTTTTAATCCCCTCTTATTCTTTATCTTATCAGGCACCTTTAGAAAGCTTCCATTGGTTTAGTTCAAGGTAAGGACATATACTTAACAAGGCAATCAATTTTATTATGATAGTACCACCACTACAGGTAAACTACAAATTAAAATATAAGGTAATTACAAAAATAGGATTCAGCAATTTAATTTTAAAGCACATACTACAAAAGAACTCCTTCCAACAATAACTCAGTCTAAAAGAAAATAGCAAAATGCACACTGCAACGGCAAAAGGCTATCCCCCACTCTGATCTTCAGTATCTGGGTTTCTCTTTCAAGATTCCTGTTAACTGCTAAAAGTCCACTCAATAATTTTAATGATGGTCTGGACTTTTACCATACAGTAGTACTACGTACAAAACCACCCTAAATTAAGCTTATTGGATCTCTCTACTTCAAGGCAACCTAAAGTTCTGTTCAAGTAAACACCAAATTATATCTACTATATTTTCTTCCTATGATTAAATTAAATACGAAAACTCTAAAGGAGCCAATTTCTTCATTTTTCTCCACTCCTCACCTCCAACAGTAATATTGTAGCACTCTGAATTTAAACTTCTCCCCAACACTTTCTACCCAGATCTCCTTGAATAAATCAAAATAGTCTCCCCATAAAAAGAAACCAAGGAACAGACTAAACTGAAGACACTTAGGTAACAGTTTCACACCCGGCACCTAGTGGGCAAGTTTCCTTAAACTTTTGTTTCAGGGTCTTACAATTTCATCCTTCAAATGGAAAAGAAGAAAAACACCAAGTGAGATGTACACTGAGCTGTGAGTGATCCCAGGTCAGTCTGATTCTCTGCCAGAAAGGGCTAGGTAACATTTACTCTTCCACCTGTAGAAGTTTCTTTCCCTTATCCCCTCAGTAAACACTACTGAAATTCACCCGCAGTTAGAATACCTCACTTCCCAAAGGAATCACTTCCTTAACACGGTAACTACTCACTGAAGACGCTTTCAGGTGTTTTCCTATTCCCTCATTCATTCCTCCATTCCATTAGCTTTATATAAACCCTTCTCGCCAAAGGAGAAAAAGTTCTTAAAGAACGGATTTTCTGAAGTCTCTCCAACCTTCGTCCCAACCTCAAAGACCGTACACATCTAAGAGTTCCCAGAAACAATGAGCTACAAAAGTACAGACTAAACGGGAAAGAAGAGGAAGTATTAGAACAATACCCAAACCAAACACCGCAACGAAAACTCGTGGTCGTCGCTATCATCCCTGTCTACCACCCCCCACTTCCCTAGTTTAACCAAGATCTCTGAAACTCAGAAATGGCCCTCTGGCTCGTAATTTCCCTCTCGCTTCGCGAAGAAGGTGGCAGAAAGAAAAGAAGCCAGCTCCGGTTGATCGGAGCCGTGATGCTTTTTCTGCCGGGTGGAGGGAGGCAAGCCAAGGGTTGTGTAAAGAATGGAAAGCTGAGTGATACTGGGGGGAGGGGGGAATTAGGGCGCCAGAGCTAATCCCTAGCCGGGGCCCGCTCGTGGAAAAGGCTGGAGGTGACCAGCCCGGAGGACTAAAAAAGCTGGGCTGCACCCGGCTTTCGGGTCGCGAAAAAGGGGGAAGAAGTCTGGAAACCCCAGCGGTCGGTGGGTGACGGCGCCAGACAAGGGAGGAGGCTCCGTGCGGAGCGAAATTTTCGGGGCACAAGAGCGGGAATCGCCTTGTTCACGCCGCCCCAAAACCCCACCACTACCACCAGGCTCACACCTCAAACCTGCTCTTGGTCACTCCGTTCACGTCCCTCCTCATGAGGCTGGCGGGTGCGGCCGGGGCCGGGCGCTGCGGCGTGTGGAGTGCAAAGACTGGGGCCCCGGGCAGGCCCCGGAGTTCCGGGACCGGGAAGAGGTAGAGGAGCGGCGGGCAGGGGCCGTCCGCAGGGAGGGGAAACCTCTCGGCTCCGGCGGGGCCTCCTCCACCTCCCGCAGAGCCGGCGGCGCCGACGACTGCTCGTCGCTAGCTCTTCTCTCTCCTCAGCCTCAACTTCAACCCAAAACAAAAACACTCCCCACCTGCCAGCAACGCCGCTCCTCATTGGGCAGAGCCGCCCGGGCCCTGGAACGGCGTGGGGAGGGGAGGAGGAGGAGCGCGCGGCGGCGGCGGCGGCGGCGGCGGCGCGGGGCCACCCCTCCCCCACTCCCGGGCGCAGTCCGCGACTGTCCGCCCGGGAGCAGCCGGAGCGCGGCGGCGGCGGCGCGAGCCGGCTCTTGCCTCCGAGCCACGCAAGCCCACCGCGAGAAGGAGAGGAAGGGAAGTGCCTATCTGTCTGTGTGTATTTGTGTATGGGAGGGGCTGTGGGGAGGGTGTGAGTACGCGCGTGCTCGCGAGTGAGGAAAGCAGGACAACTGCACATAGTACTGGAGCCCAATATAATCCCCTTCGCTGGCAGACAGCACGCACCCACCCAGCAAGCACTTGAGCTTTCTGTCAAGTCCTCCCAGCCCCCTAAGTCTTGTCGCTTCTTCCCCGGTAGCCTGTGCAGCCACATATGTCCTTCCCGGCCACCCAACTCCCTTTCCCTATCACTCACTGTCGCCTTGAACCCAAAGTGCAGCAGGCGGTCCCTGCTCGGAGCCATTTTCCTCCGCTTTCTGGTTGTCTCTAGATTGAGGCAGTGCTGCTGCTGCCGCCGCCGCCGTCGTTGCTGTCGATGCCGCCGCCTCTCCCGCCCCCGTGGATTGCATTACCCGGTGTTGCAGGGAGGCCTGGGGGGCCGCCGCAGGGCGTGGGTCTCCCTGTGCATGGATCAGGAGGACGGGGGCGGGGGTAACTGCGCTACCGTCTGCTCCAGGAATATACAGCGAGACCGCACCTCGCGCCTTGGGGTCAGGGTGTGCAGCGCAGGAGCTTGGCGACCACTCCTTTTAGCTGGGGGAGGGACGCGCTTTGGTGGTTGGGGGGGGGCCAGAGGAGGCTGAAGTGCCTTTGGCTTCCCCCGCCCCTCCGCCACCAGACTGCCGCTGGCGCCCAATGGGCTCTAGTGCCTTCCCATCCTCCAATCAGGGCTCTGGTTGGTGAGAACCTGATCCTGACGTCACTTTGGCGGGAGAAACAAGCGTGTCTTAACGAGTAGGCGGGGGCGCTTGGCCAGTGGAAATTACGACATTCGTCTGACTCCTAGGCTCCTTCCATAAAAGCTAGTTTGTGTCATCATATTATTATACTTTAGCAATGCCAGCCCTCAAGGTCTTGAAATTTATGATCGAATTTCCATGGATTAAGGAATAAGTTTACCCTCTTTTAGAGCGACAAACTGCAAAATTGTGTACCAAAGATGAAGTATTAGAAACTGTATCATAAATTCCAGCAGTCCTGGCAGGATCATTGCCCCTGATTGTATTTCCAAAGTAAGTATGTTTGTCTTCATACCTCTTTTAATTCGCTTTAGTGACTGGATTGTTATGAATCTGATTTAAGAGAGATTATTGGGGCACCTGGCTAGCCGGGTTGGTGGAGCCTACCACTCTTTATGTGGGAGTTGTGGGTTCAAGCCGCCTTGGGTGTAGAGAGTAGTTAAAAATAAAATATGTGAGGGCGCCTGGGTGGCTCAGTGGGTTAAAGCCTCTCTCTTCGGCTCAGGTCAAGATCTCGGGGTCCTGGGATCAAGCCCTGCATCGGGCTCTCTGCTCCGCAGGGAGCCTGCTTCCCTCTCTCTCTGCCTGCCTCTCTACCTACTTGTGATCTCTGTCTGTCAAATAAATAAATAAAATCTTTAAAAAAAGTAAAATATGTGTAAAAGAGAGGAGCTTATTGAAGAGCAACTGTGCTGGAGATTTTTTTTAAAAACAGGCATATTCTGGGACACCTTGGTGGCTCTGTCCTTTAAGCATCCAAATCTTGATTTCCCCTCAGGTCATGATCTTAAGGTGGTGAGATCCAGCCCTTTCTTAGGCCCGCAGCTAGGCGTGGAGTCTCCTTAAGATTCTCTTTCCCTTTGGGGCGCCTGAGTGGCTCAGTGGGTTAAAGCCTCTACCTTCTGCTCAGGTCATGATCCCAGGGTCCTGGGACCAAGCCCCGCATCGCATCGGCCTCTCTGCTCAGCTGGGAGCCTGCTCCCCGCCCCTTTGTATCTGCCTACTTATGATCTCTGTCAAATAAATAAAAATCTTTAAAAAAAAAAAAAAAGACTCTCTCCCTTTGACCCTCCCCATCTGCCAGCTCCACCCCTGCTCCTGCTCTTTAAAAAAAAAGTAAAAATTATAAAAATAAAATAAAATACAAAAAATAAAAAAGGCATATTCAAACCAGAAGCTTTATTACCGAACTCTTCAAGCATTTTTTTAACTTTCTCATGTTTGTCCTAGAAAGGCTTCTTAACCGAGGAACCTAGCTTCAGAAACTCTCAGGCCCACAAACCCAGGTCTAGGTGTTATATGCTCTCCTGCCTGCTACTTTTTAATGTTATTTCACTTCACTCAGATAAATACAGCTTTTTCAGTCCCATCTGATCTAAGAACAATTTTCTCCCAATTATTGATGAATTTGGTGACTAAGTTTTGCAGAAGATAATAAAACTGGCTCAAGCAGATAAATCAAATGAAGAAAACTTTCACAGGTCTTTTTCCAGGTTTCAATTATCTTTTTCAGCTAACCTGAGTAATACTCAGGAAAGACTTACTTTCTGATTGAATTTTTTCTGATTGGTGGACTTTTAAAAAGCCGAATAGGGGCACCTAGGTGGCTCAGTAAGTTGTGTTGCTGACTCTTGATTGGTTTAGGTCATGATCTCAGGGTTGAGCCACCCGCCTAGGTCCCTGCTCAGCGGGGAGTCTGCTTGTCTCTCTCTCTCTCTCTCTACCCTCCCCCAACTCCTCCTCTAAAAATAAACAAAATCCTTTAAAAAGCCGAATGAGGGGCGCCTGGGTGGCTCAGTCCATTAAGTGTCTGCCTTCGGCTCAGGTCATGATCCCATGGTCCTGGGATCAAGCCCCACATCGGGCTCCCTGCTCAGAGAAGAGCCTGCTTCTCCCTCTCCCTCCGCCTGCCACTCTGCCTACCTGTGCTCTCTGTCAAATAAATAAATAAAATATTAAAAAAAAAAAAGCCGAATGAAAATTACTCAAAGGTTAAAAGTTTACTACACGAAGGCATATTACTTTTTATCAAATAAGTTTATTTGCATGTAAATAAACAGGTTCTTTTGTAATGTTTTGGGGGGAAAAATCCCAGATTTTGTCTACTTTCAAAAAAATGAAAAACCCCAAAGTATTTACAGAACGGCCATACGCACAGAAAATCAAATTTGAAAGATTTTTTTTTTTTTTTAGAAAAGACCCTCCCCAACTGCTCCTGATGTACATTTCTAAAACACAAAATAATAAAGCCCAGCTTTTACAGCTAAGCACGTTTCCCAACCTAGTTTCTGAGATGTTACGTACTTCCTACCCCTCACAAAACTCACTCAAGGGTCGAAATAAGGGGGTAGAGGAGTTGAAAAGGGGAGGAAAAAAAAAGGAGAAAGAAAATGAGATTGCCCAGGGATTGTGAAAGTTCCCTATACTGTCCTCTGCTTTAAGTGGCTTGACTGGATACTGTATGACTCACTGCCTCCCGTGAAAGGGTTGCTTCTGAGAATTCATGATATTGCTGCACTAAATTTTCACACCTAGGCCTTAAGGAAAAATCTTTCCAAGAGTCACTAACCTCAAGGCCAGTTTTGGCAATTATATCCTGCTTCAAGTCTCCCCTGTTTATAAAATACGTTTTAAAACACATGGATCTTGAACCTGAAATCTTCATGTACATCAGAGCAGGTCTCGACCAAGAACCCCTAACATGAAGCCAAAAGACAGAAGAGGAATCGGGTCAAACTAAGAATACATTAGACACCAGCAGCAGCAGACAGGTAGAAGTTGACTTCATGTCCTTGCAGTCTTTTGGAACAGGAGAGTGAGGACACCTAGACAGGAGGGAGGTGTCCCAGGCTTGGTTTATTCTGCCTCTTCTCCTCCACCCTGTGAAGAAATGCAGTGCTCCCTGGTTCTCAGGCAGGGTGAAGTAGGTTAGCCCCGGCTCCCTGTTAAGCAAGTTCAGATGCTGGGTCAGTGTGTGGGGTGTGCCCATCGACAATTCAGGGGCTTATCCTTCATCCAGATCCTAACTCGGGATTCTTTGATCTGGGATGAAGACAGAAAGAGAGAAAAGCTTCCCAGTTTACTCATTTTGGTATCTGTTGGCTCTGCTTGGGGAAGCTGAGCCCCTGATATGTAGTACATTCCCCATAAGATCTTCCCCACCCAGAACAAACTTAAAAACCACGTAACATTTTTTTTCCTCTGCAGAAACCAATGGGATGGGATTCAAAACTAGGTGAGAAACCTGTGAGAAATCCAACCTGGTTATATGTTTGAGAGGCTGCTACTGTATCAGCATCACAAGATAAAGCACTCTGGTATCACCTTGCCCATGTCCTCGTTAGTGTCACCCAAGACATTGGACTCTGATACGGTAACCGATAACTTTTCTTGCTCCACTTTGCACTGTTTCGTTTCCTACTTCTTATTACCTTGGGACACAAAAGTGGCAGAGTTGTTGAGAGCTGATGACCAGAAAAGGGAGAACACTAGAGGAAATCAGAGACAGTCAGGAAAGAACGCCAAAGCTGATTTTCCAACTCTATGCTAACTCCAACCTGCAGAAAGAGCTGAATATAGAAATCTTCTTCAATATCTGATGAAGTCACTCCATTTATCACACACACACACAAATGAATCACCTGGCTTTTTTTTTTTTTTTAATCCAGAAGAGTTGTGCTGGGGACTGTGCCCCGTCCTGCTGATACAGATCCTGAATGGAATCATCAGGAATGGCACAGTGCAGGTGTCAAAATCAAAGTAAGGCCGCAGAATTTTGAGAGGACCCTCCAAATACTGAGAACTTGTGTTGCACTCAAATGGTCTCCTGGATTTCTATATTTATGAGAAGGGCTTCTTATTGATGTCCCCCAGAATCCAGACTCAGACCTGTTCCTCCAAAAAGGTCCAATTGGGTTGCTACATAGTAGCAAGGGTGTATCTTCATGCCCACCTAGCATTCCAGGCCCCCATTACTTCAAGTGAGCTTGAAATTGTTTTAAGTGAACTATGGCTGCAAATTTTTTACTGTTTTATTTAAGGGAGCATACAGTGGAGTGACTGAAGTCTGGACTCCTCCTCCATGTGACGCAGAGAAACAAGGAGCCCAGCTCTCAGGAATGGCATCAGTTCTCCTACAAACAAAATGCTGGGATGTGGACTTTTGGCACACTGTGGAAATAGGAGAACTATTAATTCTGTAATGGTTTTCATGCCCCTGGGTCAGGGAGGCTGTACATTAAACCTTACTGCATCTGAAAACATGTTTACTTCCCAAAAAGCCAGCCCAGCCTTTATTAAAGGAAAAAGAGACTATAAATCAGTACCTCCACAGAGAGGCAACTCCTAATATTCCTATGATGTCTGAACCCTACGATAAACCTCCTAAAACAAAAATACCATTTTGGTTTTTCTATTTAACTCCAAAGGTGGACTCTGACTAATCTGTTTGGGCTTAATGCTACAGTACCAGCACAAGCTACAGGCTCTCTACCACCAAATAAGCCTTGCTCTTCCACCTCCCATTATGTTGAACCCTGAACCTTATAGAATTAGAAACACTGTATAAAGACAAACAGATAAAGGGTTAAAATATTACAAATAAATAGCTAAAATTATCTTCCCTCCCCCAATCACTCCTAAGAAACAGACACCAAACATTACTTAAGTGTCCAAAATGACCAAAGTCCTTCATTTGCCCATGCCTCAAATGGACAACTATCCAAACAAAGTGAACAACCTTCATGCAAATGCATCAAGGAATGTATTGCTTTTTCATTTGCTGCCCAGCCCTTCAAATACATGCACTAAAATGAGTTAAAACATGGCCTAAAAATG